GCCACAGGAAAATCTCCATTTTCTATTGTATACACAAAGTCACCACGGCATGCTCTTGACTTGGCTAAGTTGCCTAGAGTTCCTGGATTTAATGTAGCTACAAAAAATATGGCTAATCAGTTACAAGCTGTTCAAGCAAAGGTGAAACAAAAATTAGAGCAAGTTAATGCCCAATATAAAAAAGCTACAAATCTACACTGCAGGAAACAGATTTTTGAAGTGGGAGATCAGGTGATGGTGTTTTTGCGAAAAGAGAAAAGTTTCCAGTAGGGACTTAGAGTAAGTTACAACCTAAGAAGTACAAACCATACCATATTTTGAAGAAGATCAATGACAATGCGTATGTTGTGGATCTACTAGACATAATGGGAATTTTCAAAACATTCAGCGTGGCGGACATTTACCAATTTTGTTCATCAGATGAACCCTTATATCCAGATATATAAATTAACTCGAGGTCAGGTTTTTCTCAAGAGGAGGGGACTGACGTAGAACGTCTAGTAGATAATATCTTGGAGCAGGCTGAGCATCAAAAACCAAAACGTAAAGCCCAAAAGTCATAAATGGGCATATTCACAATTTTAATATTTTCCTTATTTAGTTAGAAGTCTTACATAGAAAGTATAAGTATAATAAAATTTCTTTTTTACTTGTATTAGGACTTTAGGATAGTCATGTTTTAATTAGAAATAAAATATTTATTTTATTTAAATCCCTTATTAATTATTCTAGTTATACTAGACAACCAGAGATAGAGTTTTGTTAGGACTTGGACCATAATACTATAAATAGGACTCTTAGGCTTAGTTTTTAAATGATCGAATAATATTCTTAAGTTCTTCTTTCAAACTTGAGTTTAAAGTTTCAATATTTGAAACTTGGTTATTAACCTTAACAATATGCTACGGTCGGTTGCAACGGGCAACCGACCGTAACCGACGATTGTTTTTGCAACCGTTAGTTGTTTCGATCGGCCTTATCGGTCGATCGGCTTGGTCATCAGGGGGGACTCTTTTCCCGCCGAACTGACCAAATAACCGATGACTCTTTTTTTTTTTGGGTAGAAAAACAAAACAACCTTTTCTAAACCCCTAAAGGCTAAAGGCTTTACCCCTTACCCCTTATGGTCTTATCTGACTTTTTGCCTAATTTCACCCCCAACCTAATTTTCCCCCTCCCTCCCTTTCCTGTTTTCTGCTCTCCCTGACTCCCTCTCTTCTCTCTAACCGACCGAAATCAACAGCCAGTCAACCACCCTAAAAAACTGACCAAATTTACCGAACCGAGACTCCTAAAAACCAATCGAAACCGGCATTACATCTTATGCGGTTCGGTCAGTTATAATGTTGAAATCTTTTTGCCAGTTTTTGGTAAAAACCGAACCGAAATCGATAAAATCGAGTTATGTACACTCCTAATTAACCTTAAAGGTCTAGTCAAGTGTTAACTTTTATTTCCACACTAACTCGCTACGTCAATTTTGGTCCCATAGGCCATAAATAAAAGTCTTTTTCCCATTTTGGGACCTGGTTTTTAATTATGGCAAAAACGCACGGAGGCTAACAATTCCAGTGCAGGCCATGAATAAAGGTCTTTTTCATTTTGGGACCTGGCTTTCAATTATGGCAAAAGTTTGGTGTGACAATTTTGGTTATAGGTCATAGAGGCTAATAATTCCACTGCATGGTCTAGCCCATAAATTATATCTCAATTTTGTTAGGAGTTTTGAATAATGAAGTGCATATTTTTTATGGTACTGGCAGCTTTTTTTCCATTTCTTTCATTTCATAGCAGATTGGAGACAACAAAAAAAAAATCTTTAAAATTTATTTAAATATTTAAAATGTTTACTTTATTACTCATTTATGTTTAATTTTTGGAAATTTTTTTATTAACAAAGTCTTCATTCTCAATATGAAACTAGTGACATTATCTTCATGTGCCAAATAGTTTGGAATGGCTGGTGCACTGGAAACTCTATGTGGACAAGCTTATGGAGCACAACAATATCAAAAGCTTGGAACTTACACTTACTGTTCAATGGTTTCTATCATTCCTGTTTGTATTCCAATATGTTTTCTCTGGATATTCATGGACAAGCTGTTAGTATTGTTGGGTCAGGACTCTGAAGTTGCAATGGTAGCTGGCAGTTATTCAATCTGGCTTATACCTGGATTGTTTGCCTTTCCATTTCTCCAGTCATTAGTTCGCTATTTCCAGTGTCAGGGCTTGATCCTTCCCATGTTCTTGAGCTCTTGTGCAGCTCTATGTCTCCATATACCCGTCTGCTGGACTCTACTACACAAAACAAATCTAGGAATTATTGGGGCGGCTTTATCAACCGGATTATCTTACTGGTTTAATGTAGTATTGCTTGGGATTTACATGAGATACTCTTCATCATGTGAGAAATCCCGTGCTTTCATCTTCAACGACATTTTCTTAAGCATCAAGGAGTTTTTTAGCTTTGCACTCCCTTCTGCAGTGATGGTTTGGTAATGTACAAATCATTTTTGGGTATTCTGCGTTTCATCGTTTTTTGGGTTTTATTTTGTTTGCAGTTTCTAGTAATACCCTCTTTCATTATGGTAATTGTAGTCTTGAGTGGTGGTCATTTGAGGTACTTATACTGCTATCAGGACTTTTACCAGATTCAGTGCTTGAGACATCAGTTCTTTCCATATGGTAAACTTCTAAATCAGTGAGTTTGTGTTTAAAAACTTCAATCTTCAGTTCAGTTTTTAATTTCTATGTAAGGGTTTCAAAAAGAAGGATGCTAATCTCCCTCTACTTTTTCTATGAGAAGCCTTACAACCACTTCATTTCACTACCTCGTACCATATGGGATTAGTGCTGCTGCAAGGTTAAATCCATAATTTTTCCTTCTATACAATTGTGCCTAAATATTAGCAATAAACATATATTTTTACTCCAAAACGCACGATCTTTATGTCTTTAATGGAATATATGCCTCTGCTACTTGACAGCACTCGGGTCTCAAACGAACTAGGAGCAGGAAATCCACAAGCAGCTAGACTATCTGTAAGTGTAGCAATGGTACTTGCAGCGATAGAGCCAATCATGGTGGCACTTACTCTCTTTTGTTGCCGCTACGTTTATGGATACTTATTTAGCAACGAAAAGGAAGTTGTCAATTACGTCAGAGAAATGATTCCGCTGCTTTGCATATCGGTTATAATGGACAGCTTACAAGCAGTACTTTCTGGTCAGTGCTTACGAATTAGATAAAAAAATGTTGCTTAGCTTTTAGGGGTGAAATCAGCCGTTTAATTCTTGCCTTTTTGTGTTAATTAGGTGTTGCCAGAGGAACTGGGTGGCAGCACATTGGAGCCTATGTGAATCTTGGTGCATATTACCTTTTAGGAGTTCCAGTAGCTGTCGTGTTGTGTTTTGCACTAAATTTGAGAGGGAAGGGGCTATGGATTGGAATATTGGCAGGGTCTACTGTTCAAGCATCGCTCCTTGCTCTCGTTACTGGCTTAACAAATTGGCAAAAACAGGTTTTCTGTTATAAAATGGTCGATGTAATATATGTAGAGTGTAGCTTAATTCTGCAGACAAAGCATAACTTTGTTGAAAACTGCAGGCAAGCAATGCAAGGGAGAGAATGTTGGAGGGGAGTTGCCCAGCCAACAATGAATCAGCTTGAACAAGCAGGAAACAGAGGAAAGAAAAGGCGATGATACGTAAAAAGAGAAATATGTCAGTCCTAATTTTAGTTGCAACCCCAGTTTGTCTGTTGACTTTTGTCCTCAACAGATTTCTAATCTACCCTTTCAGCCATGCATGGAGTACTAAGCAAGTGAGCAATCCCAAAATCGTTTCAGGCCAGTTTGAGTTTCATCATAAGAAGAGAAATCTAATAGTATAAAGTTTACTATATATTATTTCTTGAGGATGAAGTCCTGTTTCAACGACGAGACGGATACCTCAAAATTCATTCCAAGTTAGAATATTTTGATTTGTCTTTTGGATTTGAGGGGCTTCATGGATACGAATATTTTGATTGAGAAAACACATCACCTATGCCACTACCTTAATTGGAAGAACTTATTGTATTCCTCTAAAGTTGGAAAAACTACTAGTTAGCGCCATATGCAGCTTCCCTGTACAATTACCTCTAATCAATTTACTTAATAGTCAATTTCGGGTATTCAGTTTCTCATATAAGTAAAAATTACAATATTCATTATCTCGGTTTTTTTTTTTTGTTAAAAAGAAAAAATCATTGGGTTGGAAACTTTACATCCAAATACTAATCATCTCATCAGGCATCAAAATAATAATTACAAAAAACTTTTAAATGGGAAGAAAATTTTAATTTTATGCAACAAGCAATAGTCTCATATAAAAATTTATGACACTTCTACAAACAAGAGAAATCACACACAGAGCAGGGGGAATAGGGAAGGAAAAGCTACATAACCTCCAATTGCTTCAAAGAGAGACAACAAAGTTCCTCATTTTCCTCCACTGGCAGCTTTCCTTGTGGGCTGTAGTGCTGGTATATAAACTCCAAAGGCAATTACTTGTAACATCTTTAAGTACACTAGTATGGTGGTGGATGGCCATTCCAAGGCGGAGGTGGTCTATATGAATCAAAATATGGTGGTGGAGGGGGTCCAGGAGGACCGGGAGGTGGTGAAAAAGCATGAGGAGGCGGTGGTGGTGGTGGACCCGCTGGTGGATGATGGTGATGTGGTGGTGGAGGAGGTGGCGCATAGTAGTCAGGACGAGGCGGCGGAGGTGGTGGCGGTGCACCATACACCTGTGGTGGTGGTGCAAAAGGATTCCGTGGGGGCGGTGGCGGTGCAAAAGGGTCTTGTGGAGGCGACGGCGGCGGTGCAAAAGGGTGTGGTGGGTGCCTATGGAATGCCATTGTTGTGATAGAAAAAAGTATTCATCCACTAAATGCTGGTGTTGGTCAGGATATGGATTGGATTTGCTTATATAGAATGGAATTGAAGGAATTGAAAAGGAAGTTTCCAGATGTAATTAACTCATTTGAGACTGCTAGTTGGATGACTGGTAGATTAAACGTGTGTACATTTTTCTTTGCCAGGAAGAATTGAATTGCTCGATTTTCTTTTACAGGTGTGAAGCTCTCAATTGTTTGCTTGTCTTTGTCAAGGTAAGCGGCATGAGCATTTTCTAAATGGTAAGGCTCACAATAACCGCTTATCGATTTAATATAAAATTATTTCTCAAACCCAAAAAATAATTTAAATATTTCGATTGAAAATTCAACTAAATGTGAACAGAAAGATATCTAATGGCTAGCTGTTTCACGCAGCTTACGCCATAGGTTTTTTCTTTTCTCATTTTTTTAAGTTAAAAGTTGGGTCATATACGAATTTTGAAAAACATTTTTTTATTAAATTAGAAATTCATTTTTGGAAGTTAGAAATTGAAATTTAAATTAACTATAATTTTCAAAAGAGTTAAAATGAAATTAGTAGACAAATTCAATAAAAAATTTTAATTGATGATATAAATATTGAATTTATCTTATTTTTAGATTATAGACAAAATACACATATGTTGTTTAAACATATAATGTGCTTTATTTTAAACAAGCTATTTATTTTAAATTAATTATTCTATTATTCCCAATAACTTCAAGTGTTGTAGTGTCTTAAGACAACATGATATAGTCGATTGATAATCAATTTCAACTTAACATCCTTGAAATAAAATTTATTTCCCAATTATTCTCAATAAAAAATATAAAGTACACCAATGATGTTTTAAATTTATTTGTTGAACAAATCCAACAACAACGCGCGAGTAATTAATTATAAAAAACATTATCTAATATATCGTCAGTAGAATTTAAAAACTTCATCGAATATTTTAGAAGATTGTCATATACTTCATTAAAATATATTTAAAAATTTTAATTAATTAATATAATAAATAAAAAGGCATGAAATAATTTTCTTACAACATATATAATATGTTCTTAATTATAATTAATAATAAATGTCAAACACTTGAAAGTAATATTTATGGATTTTTTATGGAATAAGATGCGGGTTGCCATAATAATAAGATGAAATTGATGATAATTATAAATTATGGGAATCTCCGTATACATTTATCAATGTACTTTGTATATTGGTCGAAACTATATGGATTAATTAGTTATGATTATTTGTTGTATGCTATTATATCTGTCAATAGTAGGATGCTGGCTAAATTTTCTCGACAAATGTTTCCGTATCTAATCAAGAACTTGAACATATATTTGTATACCAACGAGAAAATACATGAGATTGATTCAGAAATAAGCCAAAACGATAGCCAAATTATTATGAGCTATAATAACTGATTGAAGTATAGGAAAATAAAGAATAGTACTGCCATTCCAAGTTATAAAAAAATATAAACTGCACAAGAATTTGCTCATGATGATGCACTAAGGATTATTATAACTGCAGTGACATTCTTACAACAATGTAAAATGGAGACATCATCTAGCATTGAGCATAACAATATATTCATTTATTTGTTGATACAATACTAATACTATGAGAATCTATTCAAATTGGTATGCTCTAAAGCTAGTAAGGGGGTTGCGGAGGATGATGAGGCCCTAGGGCAGGAGGTGGAGGAGGTCCTGGTGGACCTGGAGGAGGTGGAGAGTGCTCAAACGAAGGAGGTGGTGGCCGGTGCCGATTGAATGGAGGTGGTGCAAAAGGATTAGGTGGCGGTGGTGGAGGGTGAGAAAATGCGGGTGGCGGCGGTCCAGGTGGCCCGGGTGGTGGTGCGAAGGGCTCTGGTTCAGGTGGTGGGGGATGCCTGTGGTGAGTCATTCTCGTGAGGAAGTGGTTGAGTAAATAAATGTTTGGGGCTTGGGGCTGGACTTGTTTATATAGAAATTATAGAAGGATGTAGAAACCAGAAATAGAGTGCATATGACTAGTAGTTGAATCTTGAAACTAAGAATATCGGTTCAATTACACGTTTCAAAAACAGGCAAAATATGGAAAAACTGTGGTTCAAAATCATTTAATGCTTGTCCCACAAGGAATTTGATAAAAACAGAGACGTTACAAATCTATCCAGGTGTGATTAATATTGACTCATGATGATTTCATGGCAAGTCATATTTGATGAAACTGTTCGACCTACCAAAAGTCCAAAACCGTGTTCGTTTTCGATTGAACTGAAGACTCAACTGCCAATGGGAGATCCAACTTAGTCCAATTTCTTAGCCCCGAAGGTTTGAGATTGGAGACCTTATTACACTGTATATATTGACATAATTTTTTCAACAAAAAAAAAAGGAAGAAAGAAAGGCAAGAGGCATTTTCATATTAAAGTACATAAAGAGTAACGGTCCCAACAAAATGAAAATGTGGAAGGAGAGATATGTCATGGCCCAATCGGTTTGGGCTTACAATCCAACTATTCAAGGTTGTGGGTCGTATCTCTTTGCAGTCAAGCATTTTCAAACAGAGGCTTTCTATTTCTATTTCGTCCAATCCAACGCTTCAATTTATATTTATCTTTAAGAAGCTATTCTTCATTGAGAGTCTAATTACCATTAGAGATGAAATCAAAGCATTTAACTCAATAATTGCCTTTTTAATTTTACTAATAATTAATTATTGTGTCAACCAGTTTCTTTCTATGTCAATAATAGAAAGAAAATAATTAAAGAAATTTAAATCATTAAATCCTTATAAATAATTAATTATGCATTTAATTTTCCTTAAAGATTATTCTCCTAGACCTCGTTTAGTTAGCAGTTAGACTTTGAATTTTTCATTTTTTACATTGAGACTTCAACTTTTTATTCAATTCTTTCTACATCTAATATGAATTATAAAATTTGAAACAGATTTTTTTATTCATAAAAAGAAATTTATACAATATTATTTCTAATTATATTATAATAGTACTTCAATCTAGTGTTATTATATACTATTTTACTTTTATTTCATTTTTTTTTGGATAAATCATTTTGATTATATATATATATATATATATATATATATCCATAATGAAAATGATTCCAAAGACAGAAAAGCAACAACAAATCCAAAATTACAACTATTGGAATATATGTTAGATTATATGATGGAAATAAGATAAGAACAAGAATAACAATACTACTATTTGTTATGCAAGTGCGTGGCATTCATAATTATAGCTACTCAGGTATGCTACATTAAGTGAGGGGATGAAAGGTGATGACAGAAGAATAGAGAGCACAAAGGAGTGAAATGCAGGCTCCATGCATCTCATCATCTGTGCTCTCTATCTTCTGTCAACAACATCACCAGTTCCTCCTCATCTGTAGTAACAAAAAGAATCAGTTAAAAGTAATTGGAGAGACAGGCAGATAGGAGGGAGATACTTGGAGACTCTGGCAACCTCTGATCTCTTCAATGGAGAGAAAGTAGAATACTACTGGTGATACTCTTCTGGAGAGAGGTAGAAAGAAGAGTTGTGCTTTTGAGAGCTATGGATGACCTAAGATGATTTCTCCATATCCCTATTTATAGTGAAACTCTACCTCTTTTGTCCCTCACTGTTACTTGGTTTTGATGTCACACGAGACTACTTTGAATAATATTTGTACGTGTCAGCATTGGTGCTGCAAATCATTTTAGGGTCAGATGACATATACTTCATTCTTGTTTGCGACAACACAAGACCTGGATAGATATATATACATACCACAGAAATAAGGGATAAACATGTGTTATAGATCAATGTAAAATTTAAAGAGGGAGAGAGGAGGAATAGACAACACATTGTAACCAACAACAATTAGTTGCAAGTAAAGAGACTCTCTTGTTTTCAAGGGTCAGTAAACATACATATGCACCTTAAACCTAATCAATGGGTAATTTATCTCACCTATTAGAGAGGGGGGAATCTAACCTATATACAAAGAAGACTGTAATTACTTCGAAATTGATGGCTCGGCGGTTTCCATGTTTAATTTCTTTATTTTAGAGGGGAATTACTGGTGGTGATCTCTGGACTTAATACTAGGCCATTATCCCAATTTTTTTGGCAACAAAACGCGTATCAAGCATATTACAACTGATGGATTATTTGTACATAGATATAAATTCAATGGGAGTGGATTACACTTTGTCAACTCATCAACAATTTATAAAATGATTTTTAATATTAATTGTTAATTAGTATTAACTATCTCATGTCAATTTAAGTTTTTTAAATTAATTTATATATTCAACCAAATCTCTTAAGGTTACAATTAGAGAAAAATGTTATATAACTTGTTCATTTTATTATTCAACATCAGTTAAATTTTGAATTTGTTAGATATAAAATGTCTATCCTAAATTAATATGGATGATGATGTGATAAGTTATATTTTATATTAATATAGGTTATATACGTGGTAGATGTATGTTTGTGAAATTTTGCATAAAAAAGAAGTTACAAAAAGAAAAAAAAAAATGGGTGTATCTACTTGTACAGTTAAACTTTTGTAAATTTGTCACTAACAACTAATGTCACGCTGAAAACTAGTGGAAATTAACTTCAATTCACATGGACAATTGTCGAGAAGAAAACTAAATGGCATGACATCCGTAGTTGGTAAGCCAAGAACTTAACACGAAATACACATTGGGAGAAACTAGAAAGAGAGATGGGGAGGGGAGGGGTGCGTGAGTGATTTGGCGTGCATGCAAGTTGAGAAGAAAGCAGAGGTGGGGATAACTAGCCTTGAGCATCCCCGTCGCAATATTAAAGCCTTATCCTGCTAACTCTCATCTGTCGCCTTTTGACAAGTATAAAGTGGGGCGGTGGCCATTCTTCATTCCACATGGCATTACCCCATATCTCCACCCTCTCTTCTTCTTTTCTCTAAATGTTCGATTCTCACAGCCAAACCGACATATGCTTTCCCCTCCATCGACTTATCTGCATCCAACCATTTACTTTGTTTTCAGTAAA